TAAAGTTTTGTCAGAACGAAGTTACGAAAAGTTAATTAACAAACGGAGACGTAACAATACTAACTATTACGGGCTGCATTAAATAAAAACATGTTTTCCAAAACTATTATATATTAATTAATTTATATTGCTATTGTGAGATATGTTTTCAAGATAATATTATAATCAACTAATTTATGCTGTTTTAACAGATATGATTATAAAAAGTACTTGATTTATAATATTTTTTAGGTTCAAAGCTTTAAGCTACTACTTTACAAGTAAGGAGGAAGAGGTTGAATTGAATAATTAAAACAAGAGTGATGCATTTTCACAGGATGTGCTATAAAATCTCCCCCAAACATATTCTTAAAATAAAACTTTATTGTCACGCTTTATAGTAATGATATGATAATTTGATCACTGTGAAGCAACATCATAATTAACTGTTATGCAATAAGAGCATACTTACAATTACTCTGTTTAAATGTGAATAGCCTTGTCGATAACACAAAATAATTGACAAATGAAAAAACTTAGCTTAAACAGCTTCTTGAAAAAATATTGCAATAAACACATCAATATGAAAAACTAAATAAAAGAATAAGAACTGTAATATTTACATGACAAATTTGTATCTGTTTTGTTAATATTATATTATAATATTTCTACATAAATTGATGAAATTTAGTGTATTAATGCATCTTCAGCTAAAAGCTTGATTACAGGGAGTTACATCATTTTAACAGGAAATTATGTCATACTACTACTACTTGAATTTATATATATTTATATGTGAGCTGTATATTTTTCAGAAGAGTAGAAATTTTGATATGTGAAGAAAGTATCAAGCTTCTAACAGTCTGTTTTAAAATAGGATTAATTTTAATAAAAATAATACATCTAACCACAATTCATAGCTTTTGAAGATACTCTGTTTTTAATATTTTCATCTTTTGCCCTAAGATAGTTGGATACTCAGAAGAAACCTAAAGTTCAAAGTAAATGGAAAAAATAGTCTTACACAAGACTGCTCTTAAAAAAGAGATTGGCTATTGAAACATGTTTCAAAATGAGGTAATACATTAACATATAATCATCTATCAAAAGTGAAATAAAATAAAATAAAACATCTTCCAAATTTACACTGTTAAACAGTGCCCAAATATTATATTGACCAATTTTTTAAAACAAGTAAAGAATTTTGTTAACATAATTTCTGGACAACATTTATTACTGCAAACTTTCAAGCTCATTCATGACCTATTCATTAAAAGAAGGAACATTTTCAAAATTCTTTTTAGTGAAAGTTATTTTCACATTTAAAAGGATGCTCAAAACTCAACAATTATTGTCAACAATTATTCTGATACCTTACAAGCTTACTAATTCACAAGATATTTTATAGATAATTTTGAATTTTTCACATTATTAAAAATACTAAATGTAAAATAAAACTACTTTTAAAAAATATTTTCTTTTTAAATAACATCACTAATCTTGTGAGATTTTTTTATGCATACATACATAATGTGGAGAGTGAAGATTATTCTGAAATTTAAAATTCATTGAAACATTTTTTTCAATTATTGTAATGCGGAAAAAACAGAAAAAAAATTATGAATACTATCATTGGTCAATAACAAAGTTTACCACTAAAGAAACCAAATTTAAAAGACAGGGATACTGTCTCTGGATGTAGAAACAAGGTCATCATCTAACGTTAGAAGAATCTGGAAGAAAAGAAAAATATGTGATTGATACATTTACTGGAAATACCAAATTCTAATTATTTTACAAGTAGTTTACATGCAACAATAAGGAAATCATGATAGACAATTCCTGACAGATGCAGATAGGGTTCAATGTAAAATGACTAAATTAGACAATTAAAAACATGTTCTACAACACTGCCTCCTCCCTGGATTGTGAAGTCCCTTGAACAATCTTACCACACAAATAAAACAATATTATATTAAGCTTAGTTTAGATAACTAGTAATAAATTCACTGTTTATAATCAACAAAAAAGTCATCTGATGCAATATCAGTCCCCAGTTTCCAAATGTTTAACAAGGCTAATGTATGAACTAAACATATTCTTTCCTAAAAATCTTTAGGTCACTATTGAGAAAAACAGGTAAACAAGAAATAAAAAACAACCTTTTATTTTAAAATAAAGTAAAAAATGACATAATTATAACAATATACTTTTTAATTCTTATTATATTTAAAACATATACTTCTCTGTAGACTAGTAGGAAGTAATTTAAGGGTTGCATTAATCTTAATTCATTGTTTAACATTAATAAACAAAGAAGTAGATAAAATATGTTTAAAAATGTGGTCTATTAGTTTGCTAATTTAGTTAAATAAATATGTATCATATCAGCAAAGATACTGGGATGGCACACCTCCAGCTAATATTGGACCAGACCCTACTGAATTTGCAGGAGAATTTCTAGGTGCACTGTTGCACATGGTGTTATAAATGTCAACAGCCACTGCAGTCAGCCATTTGTAATTGAGATTCCATGAAAAAAGGAACTCAAGGACTTAAACATAGTAGTATTTATTGGATACAGCACTGGTAGTATGAATATCTGAAACACTTTAGCCTTCTAACATAAAAATTGACTCAACTACTCAAAACTAATGCAAATTCATGTGTTATCATCTGACTAAGAAAGTAGCCATTCCATATTCCTGTGGAAACTGCAGTACATATGCACTAGTTAGAGAGCTGTAAATGAAATCAACTGGAAGCTTACTTGACATCCAAGCATTAGAAGATGTGGAGAACAACCAATCAACAAATACTCAGTTGCATGGTATGCCATTATGACATATTACTTTGGTGATGGTTAAGAGACTTAGTAAGGATATATTTCAGTAACTATTATCCATTCAGTTAAATCATAAGATTGAAAATGATTTAGTGAAGTGCATATTTCACCACGTCTGACTCTTGGTGAAATTCTGAAAACAAAATGGTTTTGAAAATGGGTCCTCTACCCATTTGGATCACTTCAAGTGCTTCAAAGTGTGATATATATATTGTTCAGCTCACACATTCAGCCATAGAATGCACTATCATTTTCATGTCAGAACACTTGGTGAAGTGATGAATAATGACCAGTACATACTCATTACCCTTCTGATGTATTCATGATGATTCTATTAACCTTATAACTGCCAGCTACTAATTTTTTCAGTAGGTAACATCAATCTCGTCATATTAAATTTTGATTTGTTCAAGTATTTCTAATAAAATTTCGTTATATCATGTAGTTATTTGCACTCGGACTCTGAATAGTTCACCTGCAACGTGATTTTTAATTTTGAGTATAAAGATTCTATTTATTATCTTACAGTTTCCACGTTTCATTTGTATAATCTATAGAATCTCATAAATGAATATCAAAAGATTTTTAAGGTAAATATTTGTATTTTGTTTTCCATTTTCTCTACTATATCACTAACTATATCTATTATCATCGATATACAGTGCAATGAAATGTTTAAAATTAGCAAATGGAAATATGTAAATACCTTCAACTATCCTTAGAAATCCATTAGAATAGTTGTATTTTTCTTATGTGCATAACTTCAAGTCTTTATCTTATCACTTATAGTTTACTTTTAATTTTAATTTAAAATTCTTCATCAATTATAATTTATGCCCATACACTAACTGATGCCCATGGGGCTTTATGAAGTTATTTCAGCAGACTCCTGACAGAGACGCATTGCCAAAACAAAATGGCACTTAAACACACCATCCTGTTTATAACCTTTCAAAACCCAGGCAAGTTAAACTGTTCACACATGATTTTTAAAACAAACATAATACATAATTAATTAAAAATTAAAAGTAAGACCTAAATACAGTTTAACTGTATCTCTAACTATAACATATTTAGGTATGAAAATACTGTACGTGCTACAGTCGAATAAACAGACAACAATACGAAAGGCAGTTACATGTACACAGTACGGAAAACTGTGCATCAATTTAAAATTAATTGTTGGTAGAGTATAGTGTAAACTGAGGTCTTTCTAATGACTATATACACATGTGTCAACTAGCTACATGGATGTTGTAGATCTCAAGGCAAAGTATAGAAGGTGCATGTGGCAACCATCAAGAGTTGGAAAATTTATATGTTTCCCAAATAATCCAGCTTGTAGACTTTATTTCTCACATAACAATTAGGTAAAACATATGAAATTAGTGTGTGTAGAACTGCCTGTAGAAGCCAGCTTGTGTGTCTAAGAGAAAAACGGTGCTAAAGTCAAAATTTTCAAACCATATGTAACATGAAACTACAGTTTAAGTATTTTTTGAAAGGTTTCCTTTGAAACAAAGTAATTAAAACTTTGATAACATAAAAATTCAAATTATAATATACAATATAATATTAATTTCATTTTCATACATTGATAGTTAAGTGGTTTAATTAGATTTTGAATGTAATGCAGTACCACACACACAGAAAGGAGTTTAAAGATGGTGCTGGGGGACATAGGGTTAAGGGAAGAGCTTAAACTCTCTGGTACAAAGTGTACACTAATTCTCGATATTTTTACACTAATATGGCTAGAAAAACTACTTCTGCAAATTTTCAACAGTATATGGCATTCCTTGGTATTTTTCAGTCCTTGCATTATGCAAAGTCCAAAGTATTCCTTGTCTTAGAGGTCTGAAGATCAATAGCAGCATCTCGGGTTGGCTATCACATTTCAGTGGTTCATAATGATAGTACAATATGCCATTCTTTACTGATGATGGAAAAATGTCACAAGTTACAGTCTGCCAGTTTGTGACAGTCATGTTTTACCTTAGTGTATAACATGTACCATTAAAACTAAGTCCATGCCCTTGAATTTCTCCTCGTGAAGTTTCTAACTGATCATTTGTGGTGTCCATCCAAATAGAGAACTTTCACCACTTCTACAGTTCTTCATCACTGCTTCTACAATGGTTTTCACAGCTTTACAGTGTCCAGGATTCAAACATCCAACAAATGGATATGATCTCTCAGGTTGGCAAGATACTCCATCAACATTTCCATGTAATGTTGTACAAAAAGTTCTGCTCTTACAGCATTGCTAGCCAATGCACAATCATACCTTCTAGCTTTTCAAAGTTCATTAGCCATTTCCATAATACCTGGCCCACTTGGCTGGTGAACTCCCTACCACACAATTAGTTATAGTAATGTTTGATAAATATTACAACTCCAAGCAGTTCCTTCTTCAGCATAAAATATTGGCATTCATGAAAAATTAACATGACTACATACTCCATACTGTTCTGTACCTGAGACAAATCCACTCATAGGTGGTGTATGAGTCATTTCTTTTTATATGCTATTCTGTCACATTTGAGCATTATACAGTTGGGAAGAATCAGTTTACACTCCTAAATAAATAAACTCTCCTCTGTGACACATACAAACCCTCTTTTGCTTACTTTATTTCTCTCTCTATGTATCCTGTATAACATTTTTGAGATGGTAAAAATAATGCCCTATGAAAGAGAGTTTATCTAGAGAGACCAAATATTCCCAAGCCTTTTATACACACTGTTTCTGAAGTCACTCCAGTTTTGTCTGGGACAAATGTAATTAATGGCAAAGATAAGTGAGCAGTTAGTGGTGTTTGAAGGAACGAAACCTGTATTAACACAAGATGCACACCAACCTTACACAATAAACACAGTGTTGTGGTTATTTTGTACAAGTTGATCACAAACCTTAGAAGCTACAGACTAATCATTTGGTCTCAGAATAAGGTTAGTCCTTTACCACCACAATATTCACAGGATCAGTGGACACTTCATCCCTACTTATCATATTATGTGACTGAGGAGTTCATTACAATGCATGTGATTACACACTATCCTTGTTTCAATATCAGGTTTACATTCTGGATGCACTGTAATACCATTCTTGGGTTCTCAGTAGTGACCAACTACTAGTTTCTCTCCCATAAATGTAAGACATCTCTCTATCACAGTCTTCTAAATTTAAGCTATACCAGCCTCTCATAAGTGCCAGACACACAACACAGACCAAATGACATGATGCAGTATTCATACAGTCCTTCCCAAGTGCTGAAAGTGGTCTCTGGTTTCACTATCTAGTTTAAATTACCTGTAACCAGAAGCCAAATCTGGTAAATTGAACCAATAGACATCCTTCCATAAATCCAGTAATTTTTCTGTAATGAAGAGGCATTGATGCATTTTACTATATTAAGCCATTTGAAAACCACAAAGAACCTTGGCATTCCTTCCTTCTTTGGAACAGTCATTACTGGAGATGATGACTAACAAATAACTTGCATGTCCTACTATTTTTTTAAAGCAAATTAATTAGGAAAAGGTATCAAGAATGCACTACATTTCTCCAGAAAATTTTAACTAAATAATTTAATTTGAGCAGTTCTTTTGTCAAATTTTCTTACCCTTAGTTATGAATTCTAAATGAAAATGGAAAGTGTAATATTTCATAAGATCAGGAAACTTTCTAAAACTCGAGATATTATTTGTTGATAAAAATTTATTTTTAATATTAAAAGGCATTAACAAAAGAACTATACTCTTTTTTTTTTATGGAGGAAACATCATGTTTTGGTTTGATGAATATATTATGCACTGATAGGGAACAATTATTATATAATATCAAGTCAGAATGAAAAAGGTTGGAGATGCATCTGATTTGGGTAGG